GGCGGGCACCCAGAGCTCCCCGCCGGGCCCCCTGCGCCCCCGACTCCCCCACTAGCACCTTGGCGCCAGCGCTGCAGCTCCTGACCCTCCGCCGCGCCGGCCGGTTCCCCGGCGGCCTCCCGCAGCGGCGGCGACTGCGTGGGGGTCGGGGTCAAGGTCAGCGATGGGGGCGGGAGCTGAAGGGACGGCAGGGACTCCCGGGGTGGCGGCGGGGGGGACCCCGGTTCTGCCGTCCCTTCCTGGGCCCCGGGGCCGCAGGCGCTGATGCGGCAGCCCGGCATCCCCCGCCACCACCCCCGCGGCGGCCTGCGCTTGCGCTGCGCGGGGAGGGTGGACACTGGGTACCAGCCGAGAGCAAAGCGGCCGCAGTGCCCACGCCGGCGCCGCACGGGCCGCCCTGCGTCTTATAGAGCACTAGGCGGAGCGATGGACAGCACAGCCAATCGGAGACTTGCATGCCCCAAATCCGCCCTGCCTTCCACCCGACGCAGTTTCCCCCAAACTCTTCAGGTCCCTGGTCCTTCGCCCAGGTGGGCCCTATTAGGACATCCCTCCCCATGTCAAGGCCAAAATTTGGGTGAAGTGGCTGTTATGTCCCTTTGCTTGACTTTCAGAACAGTAAACTGCCTTCGATGGTGATGATGCGTAAAAGTCATGTTTGTTCCCACATGGGGAAGGGTTTGGTCTGAGGCCCCCACAGGGCAGTGAGAGCCTGGACTAGAACTCAAGAGGCTGGACTCATTGTGCAGTGTTCCTGCCCACTCCTGAAGCCACCCCTAGGCGGAATCAACTCTGCCAGGTCTCCTGAGCCACAAGGTTCCCCAGGACCCCCCCCCCCGCCTCCTGTCTCCCTGGGGGCTGTGGATTGGTAAAGGCAGAGGAATGACTTGGTGTCCACGGGAGGATGGGCATCTAGTTGGGTTGACTGTACATCAAACAGGCACTTAGCTTGCAAAACAAACACCAGGGCGCTGCTGCTCAGCCCGCCAACCTGGGTGGGGCCCCCAGAAGACCCCAAAGCATGCAGAATTCTTTTCCTGCTCCTCCCCTGCCTGTAAGTGATCCTCCATCGCGCAAGACACCTCCCCCCACCTTTTACACAAAGGTGGGAAAGAGGCTCAGAAGATACTGCGGTGCCTTGCCCAAGGTCACATTGCAGGCTGGTGGCTGAATCTGGACGGAAATTGAATAGCTCAGCCACTCCTCTGAGCCCTTTGAGGTTCTCTCCCTCCTCCTCTGGTGGCAGAGGGACTCTCTAGATCTAGAATTTTAGTCATGCTGGCTCTGCCCACTTTCTTTCCTCGCAGCACAAGTGGTCCTGATGTTCCCTACTAAACATTAGCCTGGATCACAGTATCCCTGCCTCCGTTGCTTCTTGATTGACAGTGTGGTCAAAGATCCGACACTGGTGGTGATGGGAGGAAGAAAGGTCTGGAGGGAGAGCCTCAGCCTGTCTCCAGCATTCCCTAAGTGCTTACAGGTGTCTTTTGATTGAGTGCTGAGGACTAGTGGGCGAGACAGCAAGGCTCCAGAGAGCTCAGGGAGCGTCGCAGGAAGGGAAAGGAGGGTGAGGGGAATTAGACTGAGAGAAGAGGAAGAACTCAGAGGCAGTTAAAGGGATGCTCAGTGACCAGAAGTAGCTTCTGAAGGGGGAGGAGAAGGGGAGAAGCTTGGAGAGGTGACTCAGTGAGAAGGGCCTTTCAGTGCAGTGATAGGACCTAAGCCCAGGCAGGTGGTAAATGAATGCCTAGGTACAGAGGAGGGGTACAGTGGCGAAGAAAGGCTCAGGGCATGGGGACTCTGGGAGTCAGAGGGGCTTAGTGAGAATGAGGGAGATTGGGAATGGCCAGATGGTCCCCAGCAAGAAGGAATGCCACCCTCTCCTCTCCCATGGTGGCATCCTTTTGAAAGGGTCTGCTTAGTGTCATTCAACCTTGAGCCTTTGTCAGTGAAAAGCATCCTCCCACCCTCCCAGGGATGCTTGACAGGTGCTTCATGGCAGCAGAAAGATCCCTGCCTGGAACTCCTTAGATGAAAGGGGAGGGGACAGGCAAGTCCCAAGTGTGGCATGGGTTTACAATTCCAGCACTCTTGAGGTGGGGGAGGTAGAGGAGGTTGAGGGGGTGGAGATAAGAGGATCAGGAGTTCAAGAGTTCAAAGTTAGCCTGGGGTATACCCCATCTTTAAAAAAGAATAAGGAGGCCGGGCGTGGTGGTGCATCCCTTTAATCCCAGCACTCAGGAGGCAGAGGCGGGCAGATCTCTTGAGTTTGAGGCCAGCCTGGTCTACATAGTGAGTTCCAGGCCAGCTTGGGCTACAGGGAGACCCTGTCTCAAAAAGACCAAAACAACAAAAAACCAAAAAAAAAAGGAAAAAAAGAAAGAAAAGCAAAATACATTTTGAGTACCAGACCAGCCAGGGCTACATGACAAGAACCTGTCTTAAGGGATATTAAGATGGCTCAGTAGGTAAAGGCACCTGCTGCCAAGCTTGACAACCTGAGTTCCATCCCTGGAGCCCACACGGTGGAAGGAGAGAAGTGATTTTGATTTCACAAAGTTGTCCTCTGACTTCCACACTCAGGCTGTGACACATAGACACACATACACACACACAAAATAGAAAATGGGTGCTAGAATTAAAGGTGTGCACCACCAAGCCCAGCTATTCCCTATTATCCAACAATTTTTTTTCAGTGTCCCTGTAGCCCCCACTGTGGCCTGGAACTCACTATGTAGACCAGGCTGGCTTTGAACTCACAGAGATCCGCCTGCCTCTGCCTCCCAAGTGCTGGGACTAAAGGAGTACGCCACCATGCCCGGCCCAACAATATTTCTTTATTCCTATCCTCTGAGGTATTTCCCACAAGTCATATATGTGTCTTTTCATGTGTTCCTGTTTACGTTTTCATTATTGATAACATCTCCCTCTATACTAGTTTTGCTGCTTATCAGGAGAATCCTTTGAAGTTAAAAAGGGTGCTTAGAGCTGGACCTGGTGACACCCACCTTTAATCCCAGAACTCAGGAAGTAGAGGCAGGTGCATCTCTATAAGTTTGAGGCCAGTCTGGTCTATATAGCAAGTTCCAAGCCAGCTGGGGCGACTAGGAGACCCTGTCTCAAAAACAAAACAAAACAAAAAAAAACAGTGCTTGAGTCTATGAATCACTCAATGTGTGTGGAGGGAGGAGGTAGAGATGGAACTCAGGGCCTTGTGTATGCTAGACAAGATTTCTACCACAGAGCTATACCCCCAATAAATATCTGTTTGAACTGAAAACAATGGAGGGGCCTTGGTGAAAATGGAAAAGTGCCTTTACCCATTCATTCATTCATTGCTTTCTTTCACCCATTCAGCAATTTGATCATTTCTTCCTCTGCTGGGCTGACTGCAGGAAGGTTCAGCACCTATGGAATAAGTCCTGTTCCTAGTGACTGCAGTGGGGCACACAGACAGGTGATGGACAGCAGTTCAGTACCATTTGGACTGGGACGGAGGAAATACAGAGACTGCAGGAGACTCCATCTCTCCAGCTGGGGGAGATGGAGTGTGGACAGTTTCCTGTAGGAGGTGGTATTTAAACAGAGACCTGTAGGATGAATCAAAGTGAGTGACACAGAGATGCAGTGAGGGAAGATTCCTGGTGGGAGTACCATGTGCGAAAGACCAGAGGCGATAGAGGGTTGGCATCTGCTCGCTTTCTTGCCATCTTCCTTAACTGGCCTGAGCTCTACACTCCCAGGAGGGGAAAGACTGTAGTCAACCAAGTACCTGTCACCACATAGCCAGCCTGGCAAGCACGGCCCTTCAAATGTGGAAACTGAGGCCTGGGGATGTAGCTCAGTTGAAAGAGTATTTGCCTAGCATGCAGAAGACCCTGGGTTCTATCCCCAGTACCACATTCACCAGGAATTTCACACACTCCTATAATGCCAGTATTCAGGAGGTCCTTCAAAGCCAGAAAGATAAAATGCCTTTTTAATCTTATCTTTTTTAAAACGCCAAGAGATATTTATTTATTTACTTATTTATTTATGTGTGTGTGTGTGTGTGTGTGTGTGTGTGTGTGTGTATTCAAGTGCCACAGTCCCAGTGTAGAGTTCAGCAGACAACTTTTGGATGTTGGTACTCTGCTTCCACCATTCAGATCTCAGGGATCAGACTTGGGTTATCAGGCTTACACAGCAAGCTCTTTCACCCACTGAGCCATCTTTCTGGCCCTATTTTCATTTTTTTTTGTTTTGCTTGTTTTTTATTTATTTAATTTTTAATATTTTATTATTTTTATTTTTATGTGTATGAGTGAATTACCTACATGTATGTAGGTGCACCTATGTCATGCAATGCCTGAAGTGGCCAGAAGAGGGTGTCAGATCCCCTGGAACTGAATTTATGGACAGTTGTTAGCTGACATGTGACTGCTGGGACTTGCACTATCTAGGTCCTCTGCAAGAGCAGTCACTGCTCTTAACTGCTGAGACAGCTCTCCAGCCCCCTTATTTTTGGTTTCTGAGACAGGGTCTCATGTAACCCAAGCTGATCTTGAACTTCCTATGTAGCTGAAGCTGGCCTTGAACTAATTCTCCTATTTCCACTTTCCTCATGCTGAAGTTACTGTCTGCCACCATTCCCAGCCAGGAAATGCATTTTTCAGCACTTATGTCTGTTACATTTTTCTGCTCTTTATAATGTTATACATTCCTTTTGTAGAACAGTAGGAAAATAAATACTTTATCAGTAGTTCCAGGCCAGCTGGGGCTACAGGGAGACCCTGTCTCAAAAAGACCAAAAAAGAAAAGAAAGAAAGAAAGAGAGAGAGAGAGAGAGAGAGAGAGAGAAAGAAAGAAAGAAAGAAAGAAAGAAAGAAAGAAAGAAAGAAAGAAAGAAAGAAAGAAAGAAAGAAAGGAGGCTGGGGTATAGCTCAGTTGGTAAAATGCTTGCCTAGCACTCCCTGGGTTCAACCCCCAGCCCTAAATTAGCTGGGTATGGTGGCACACATCTCTAACCCCAGCATTCAACTCAGGTGGTGGAGACGGGAGGATCAGAAGTTTAAGGTCATTCTTGGCTACTTAGAGAGTTGAACCTTCTCAAAACAACAAAAATAACAATAACAATAAAGAAAGAAGAGAGGAAAGAGGGGCTGGAAGCAGGGAGACTTGTGTTTGGATGGAAGTTCAGTCCTTCCCTAGCTCTGCAATCCTGGGAAAGGCACTTTCTCTGAACTTCAGTGTTTTGTCTGAGAAATGGAGCTGCTGTAGTCCAGAAAGGATGCAAGGACTTGCACAAAGTTTTACAACTGCTTCTATCTGACTCAAAGCCTGTGGTTTGAGTCTAAGTTACTGGGAACAAAGAAGCCACCCAGACCAGAAGTCATAATCTCATCCAGTATGGACCAGCCCTGCCCAGGAAAAGAGCTAGGGCAGACAGAGCCTTTCAAGGGAAGGGGTAGCAACTGTGGCTGTGGCCCCAGCTATGTCCCCTCCATCAGCTGAGCATGGGATAGGACAAGGGGTCAAGACCTGAGAAGCCTCTTCATTCCTATCTAGAAGATTCAAGGCCCCAGCTCAGAGATGCAAGCCCTCCTTTTTCGTCTCTTCCTGGCAAGCTGGCCTGACACCCTCTAGGATGTGATCACGGTTTAATAATTTAGCAGATGCAGACAAAGATAGCAGTTCTGAAAATAACGCAGCCAGCTTCCAGCCTCCAGCTCCCCTTTCCTGCAGAGGCCCCTGCCTTCCCTTCAGTCTCTAGTTGCCCTACACATCTGTCAGTGCCCCTGCCACCAGTTGACACCCCATTTGACACTGCT